TATATATATATTTATAAATTCAGAGTAGGTATCGAGGCACTCATGGGCACACCAGAATTGTCAGTATATATAGACAATAATTCTGGTGTATATATATATTGTCTAGATATGCTGACAATTCTGGTGACAGATGAGTGATGTTGGGGAACTCTCGATCAATGGGACTTGTTTTGGGTAGAGTGCACAAGGAATTCAACTTCTGTCAGATTTGTATTTTTGTCTGCAGCCCCTTGGGAGAGACTCAACCTTTGGCTTTGTCCTGGGGACCATTGTCACCGAGACAGAAAGTGATGGGAAATAAAAAAAATTGTGTATATCTATCAATGGGCACACCTGTTATGGTGACACCTGTTTAAAAGTGTAATTTCCCTCACTTTGAAGAGGTTCCCTCTCACTTCCTTTTGTGTCCCCAGGAAAGGAAGTTAAGGGAAATCTCCCTTCAAGACACATAGGGCAAAAAAACCTCATGGGGTCCTTGTAACAATTATATACTGAATCCAAAACTAAAAGTTTGGTTATAGATACAGCTTACAAGAACCCAAGAAATATCAGCACAATGCTGAACATCTCATCCTATGTGCTGGAACTGGAGCTATTTGGAAGATTTCTGTGTTCCTCTGAAGGAACCCCCATTATGTTTTGATACATATACAGATATAAATCTGTTTTATGCTACATAGTTTCATTCTTGCACAGAGATGGGGAAAATGCTGACAAGCCAGCGAGGTATTATCACTTCATGTTAATAATTCAGATTTAAAGGGGGGCTCTCTGTGGCAGGATGCTTATAAAAATAGCTGAGTATAATCAGAGGTAGCTGTAGCTCTCTACACTTTAAATTGACCCTGCCAACCGGCTAAGAAAAACTAAGAACAGGTTCACACTTGCGGGATCCGTGACCGCGCGGCAATCGTGCGTGGTTTCAAGCATGATTGCCGCATTTTGATCTCTCTAACTATTTGAACAAGCATATACAGTATATTCCATATAGCAGTAGCCATCTTCCTTTGCACACTGTAAGTGACACTAAACTCTAGAATTAAATTTGAAAAATGCATTCAAGTACTGTAACTATTAACAAAAATGTTGTTTATTTGTGTATATATCAGCTGTAGATCCTCAAATCATCTCTGAATTGGTGCTGACACTGTCCTTCCTTCTGGAGGGTGGCTACTTATGTTCCCAATGGTGCCTGTGTGTGTTGTAAAGTAGCCACTGTTCAAAACCAACTCCCATGATGGACTGCAATCTCATGTTTTAGTTACTAATTTGTATTGAAGTTTTAGTCTGTCATAAGAACGAGCTTGGAGCTATGGCGACTTTACAACACACACAGGGACCATGGGGAACAAAAGTAGCCACCCTCCAGAAGGAAGGACAGTGTCAGCACCAATTCAGAGATGATTTGAGCATCTACAGCCGAGTGATAAACAAATAAGATTTATTTTTATTAATAGTTAAGTTCCTTAAATGCATTTTTAAGATTCAACACCAGAGTTTAGTGTCACTTTAACTTAGTCCTTCTCTATCAACAAGTAAAACCGTTGTCGCCACAATCTTT